CTTGATTGTGAAGCTAGAATATCTTTTGTAACTTCTAGTTCTTTCTGCAACCTTTCAACTTCAATCTGATATTGTCTGATGTCTTGAGAAATATCCGTTGACCCATCTGTCTGACAAGCACATGATGTGAGATTTGCAATAGAATGACCTCCTTCTCGCAACATTTGTACCAGGTTTGGTGGTCGGCTTGTGTTCAAACCTACATCATCCCAGTGCTCAAAATCCTGAAAAAAGAGAAATGAGCCTTGACATACAAATGGGAAATGTAGTACATAATGTATAACTATATATCTATATATGTATAAGAATACATTGTGTGTAATTCATGTCAAACAAATTGCAAGTAGAAAAACAAAAGGATGTACAGGAAAACACAAATACATGCCAAAGACCTTTTTGCAATTATTCCTTCATCAGGGCATATAATACAAAAATTACATAGGGGTATATACATATACAGAGTGGTCAGGTCCCATCAGTAATTGTGTGCAACAACCCTGACTAGTTTATTTGCATATATGCATGTGTGTGTGTGTCTGGTGTGTGTGTGTGTGTCTGGTGTGTGTGTGTGTGTCTGGTGTGTGTGTGTGTGTGTCTGGTGTGTGTGTGTGTGTGTGTCTGGTGTCTGTGTGTGTGTGTGTGTCTGTGTGTGTGTGTGTGTGTGTGTGTGTGTGTGTGTGTGTGTGTGTGTGTGTGTGTGTGTGTGTGTGTGTGTGTGTGTGTGTGTGTGTGTGTGTGTGTGTGTGTGTGTGTGTGTGTGTGTGTGTGTGTGTGTGTGTGTGTGTGTGTGTGTGTGTGTGTGTGTGTGTGTGTGTCTGGTGTGTGTGTGTCTGGTGTGTGTGTGTGTCTGGTGTGTGTGTGTGTCTGGTGTGTGTGTGTGTGTGTGTGTGTGTGTGTGTGTGTGTGTGTGTGTGTGTGTGTGTGTGTGTGTGTGTGTGTGTGTGTGTGTCTGGTGTGTGTGTGTGTGTGTGTGTGTGTGTGTGTGTGTGTGTGTGTGTGTGTGTGTGTGTGTGTGTGTGTGTGGTGTGTGTGTGTGTGTGTGTGTGTGTGTGTGTGTGTGTGTGTGTGTGTGTGTGTGTGTGTGTGTGTGTGTGTGTGTGTGTGTGTGTGTGTGTGTGTGTGTGTGTGTGTGTGTGTGTGTGTGGTGTGTGTGTGTGTGTGTGTGGTGTGTGTGTGTGTGTGTGTGGTGTGTGTGTGTGTGTGTGTGTGTGTGTGTGTGTGTGTGTGTGTGTTGTGTTGTGTGTCTGGTGTGTGTGTGTGTGGTTGTCTGGTGTGTGTGTGTTGTCTGGTGTGTGTGTGTTGTGGTCTGGTGTGTGTGTGTGGTGTGTCGTGGTGTGTGTGTGTGTTGTGGTCTGGTGTGTGTGTGTGTGTGTCTGGTGTTTGTGTGGTGTGTGGTGTGTGTTGTTGTTGTGTGTGTTGTGTTGTGTGTGTCTGTGTGTCTGTTTGGTGAGTGTGTGTTGTGTGTGTGTCTGGTGTGCGTGTGTGTGTGGTGTGTGTGTTGTGTGTGGTGTGTGTGTGTTGTTGTGTATGTGTGTGTGTGTCTGGTGGTGTGTGTTGGTGTGTGTGAGTGTGTGTGTGTGTGTGGTGTGTGTGTGTGTGTGTGTGTGTCCTGGTGTGTGTTGTGTGTTGTGTGTGTGTGTGTGTTGGTGTGTGGTGTGTGTGTGTGTATGTTGTGTGGTGTGTGTGTGTGGGTGTGTGTGTGGTGGTGTGTGTGTGTTGTGTGTGTTGTGTGTGTGTGTTGTGTGTGTGTGTGTGTGTGTTGTGGTGGTGTGTGTGGGTTGTGGTGTGTGTTTGTGTGTGTGGTGTGTGTGGGTGTGTGTTGTGTGTGTGTGTGTGTTGTTGTGTGTGTGTGTGTTGTTGTGTGTGGTGTGTGTGTGGTAGTGGTGTGGGTGTGTTGTGTTGTGTGTGTGTGGGTGTGTGTGTGTGTGGTGCGTGTGTGTGTGTGTGTGTGGGGTTGGGTGTGTGGTGTGGGTGTGTTGTGTGTGGTGTTGTGTGTGTGTGTGGTGGTGTGTGGTGTGGTTGTGTGTGTGGTGTGGGTGTGGGTGTGGGGGTGTGTGGTGTGTGTGTGTGTTGTGTTGTGTGTTGTGGTGTGTGTGTGTGTGTGTGTGTGGGTGTGTGTGTGTGTTGTGTGGTGTGTGGTGTGGTGTGTGTGTGTGTGTGTGTGTGTGTGTGGTGTGTGCGTTTGTGGTGTGCTGTGTGTGTGTGTGTGGTGTGTGTTTGTGTGTGTGTGTGTGTGTGTGTGTGGTGTGTGTGTGTGTGTGTGTGTGTGTGTGTGTGTGTGTGTGTGTGTGTGTGTGTGTGTGTGTGTGTGTGTGTGTGTGTGGTGTGTGTGTGTGTGTGTGTGTGTGTGTGTGTGTGTGTGTGTGTGTGTGTGTGTGTGTGTGTGTGTGTGTGTGTGTGTGTGTGTATGTGTGTGTGTGTGTGTGTGTGTGTGTGTGTGTGTGTGTGTGTGTGTGTGTGTGTGTGTGTGTGTGTGTGTGTGTGTGTGTGTGTGTGTGTGTGTGTGTGTGTGTGTGTGTGTGTGTGTGTGGTGTGTGTGTGTGTGTGTGTGTGTGGTGTGTGTGTGTGTGTGTGGTGTGTGTGTGTGTGGTGTGTGTGTGTGGTGTGTGTGTGTGTGTGTGTGTGTGTGTGTGTGTGTGTGTGTGTGTGTGTGTGTGTGTGTGGTGTGTGTGTGTGTGTGTGTGTGTGTGTGTGTGTGTGTGTGTGTGTGTGTGTGTGTGTGTGTGTGTGTGTGTGTGTGTGTGTGTGTGTGTGTATATTTATACATACATACATATACACAAAAATATCTATATGCATGTATATATAAATTTATAAATATATATACATATATACATATATAAAAATATAAAAATATATATATATATTAACACATACATGTATATTACTTATATATATATATATATATATATATATATATATATATATATATATATATATATATATATATATATAAACTGTGTGTATATATATACATATATATATGTGTGTGCGTGTGCGTGTGCGTGTGCATGTGCGTGTGTATTATATATATATATAAATTGTATATATACATACATTTATATATATATATATATATATATATATATATATATATAAAAAAGACAAGACTTATAGAAGAAATAAGGAATTAATACCACAAAAATATGATAATAAAAAATTAATAATGAGGCACACTAGAAAAACAGACCTGGTCATTATTTTCATCTGCAAATGTGATAGCAGTAAGTTTGTAGGAGTTTGTCACCAAGTACTCATTGATTAAGAAATTCAGCGTTCTTTTTTCATGTGGACGGATGGATGACAATGCAGCCACCATAGATGTCTTATCTGCTTCTTGTTTCTCAATTGAAGAAGGTTTTGATTCTGTCAAAAGAAAACAAAAATTAAAAAAATGAATAATAAATATTCAAAACAGAAAAGCACCATTAATAAGTTTGGTGAATCAATTACATAGTGACATCCCAAACTAACCTATACCCATACATAACCCATTCGCGCCGGGTGTAACATATACGTGACATGCCCACTGTGAGTTTACTTGTTTAATTTCTTTTATGAGTATTTATGTGAGTAGGGGACATCAGCCCGAATCACTGGCTCGCCGCGCTTTGGCGCGCCGCCGGCTCGCTCGGCTGCACGCCAGCTTTCGAGCTCTTTGTGTACACGCCGATCGGCGTCACCCGGCACCAAGGGGATATATATATACCACACATATACAATATATAAGTATCATATATATATATATACCACATATATACAATATATAACTATCATATCTATAATATTCATATACATAAATATTTATATCTTATATATACAATATATATATAAACAATATATTTGATATATGTACATATATATACATATACATAAATATATATATATATATATGTATATGTAATATCATATATACGCAATATATATCAATAAATATAATGTATATACACTTTACATATATGCTATATATATGTGTGTGTGTGTGTGTGTGTGTGTGTGTGTGTGTGTGTGTGTGTGTGTGTCTATATATATACATATATACGTATATACATATATAAATATATATATATAAATATATATATAAATACATATAAATACATATATAAATATACATATGTAAATAAATAAATATATAAATAAATAAATAAATATATATATATGTAATATATATATATATGTATGAAATATATAAATATATATTTATATATATGATATATGTATATATATACATATACATAAATATATATATATATATATATACATATATAAATATAAAATATATATATATGCATATATATATATATGCATATATATGCATATATATATATATATATATATATATATATATATATATATATATATATATATATATATATATATATATATATATGCATATATATATATATATGCATATATATATATATATGCATATATATATATATATATATATATATATATATATATATATATATATATATATATATATATATATATGCATATATATATATATATATGTATATATATATATATATATATATATATATATATATATATATATATATATATATTTTTTTCAACATCCATTCATTCCACTGCAGGACATAGGCCTCTCTCAATTGAATATTGAGAGGTTATATGGCGGTGTCACCCTTGCCTGATTGAATGCCCTTCCTAATCAACCATGGTTCGGCGCGTTAACACTTGTGCCACGGCGGTGACTTCCCCTACGACACCTGCGTTTGACTTCTCAAGCCGATATGTCGTTTTCACGGGCTCGAGTCAGCAGTCAGAGCGCAGGCATTTTTTACAACTGCCGTGACGGGGAATTGAACCCGGGACCACGAGGGTCGGAGTCCAGTGCTCTAACCACTGAGCTATCGCGGCAGTCTTATATATATATATATATATATATATATATATATATATATATATATATATATATATATGCATATATATATATATATATGCATATATATATATATATATATGCATATATATATATATATATGCATATATATATATATATATATATATATATATATATATATATATATATATATATGCATATATATATATATATATATATATATATATATATATATATATATATATATATATATATATATATATATATATGCATATATATATATATATATATGCATATATATATATATATGCATATATATATATATATATATGCATATATATATATATATATATATGCATATATATATATATATATATATATATATATATATATATATATATATATATATATGCATATATATATATATATATATATGCATATATATATATATATGCATATATATATATATATATGCATATATATATATATATATGCATATATATATATATATATATATATATATATATATATATATATATGCATATATATATATATATATATATATATATATATATATATATATATATATATATATATGCATATATATATATATATATATATATATATATATATATATATATATATATATATATATATGCATATATATATATATATATATATATATATATATATATATATATATATATATATATATATGCATATATGCATATATATATGCATATATGCATATATATATGCATATATGCATATATATATATATATATATATATATATATATATATATATATATATATATATATATATATGCATATATATATATATATATATATATATATATATATATATATATATATATGCATATATATATATATATATATATATATATATATATATATATATATATATATATGCATATATATATATATATATATATATATATATATATATATATATATATATGCATATATATATATATATATATATATATATTATATATATATATATATATATAGATATATATATATATATATGCATATATATATATGCATATATATATATATATATAATATATATATATATATATAAGATATACTATATACTATAGTATGCCTATATTCTATATATATCCATATATATATATATATATCTAATAATACTATTATATCATTCATATCTCTCTCTCATCTATCTCTATTCTATCTCATCTATATATATTCTCTATATCTGCCTATATCTCTACTATATATATATCTATATATCATCATCTCTCTATATCTCTTCTTCTATCTCTATGCACTCTATATATCTATGTATCTATTATCTATAATCTATCTATCTCTCTACATCATATATATATATATCTATATCTATTGCATATATATCTCTATATATCTATCTCGCATATATCTCTACTCTCTGCCTATCTCTAGCATCTCCTATCTCTAATACTATCTATATATACTCTCTATCTCTATACTATATCTACTCTATATGTACTGCATATCATATCTCTATTCATGCATATAATATATATATTCTGCATCTATCTCCTCTGCATATACTATATCATTCATATATTACTCTGCATTATATATCTCGGCTATTACTCTATATATGCATATATATATATGCATACTCTCTCTCTATCTATGCCTCTATCTATATCCTACTATCTATCTATCTCTATCTCTCCTCTCTCTACTATATCATCCTTATGCATCTCTCTCTATATATCTCTATCTCCTACTCTATCTCTCTATGCCTATAGATCTCTATCCTCCTATCTATATCATGCCTACTATCTTCTCTATTCCTTCTCTCTCTCTATATGCCTCTCTCTCATATCCTCTATCGTACTCTGCCTCTATCTATCTATGCATATCTTCTACCTCATCGCTACTTCTCTACTCTCTATCGATATATATATCTATCTCTCTCTATGCCTCTATCTACATAAGATTATATATATATATATGCATATATATTATATGCCATATATATACATATATAATATATATGCATATATATATATATGCATATATATACATATATATATATATATGCATATATATACATATATATATATATATGCATATATATACATATATACATATATATGCATATATATACATATATATATATATATATGCATATATATACATATACATATATATGCATATATATACATATATATATATATATATGCATATATATACATATATATATATATATGCATATATATATATATATATATATATATATATATATATATATATATATATATATATATATATATGCATATATATATATATGCATATATATATATATGCATATATATATATATGCATATATATATATATGCATATATATATATATGCATATATATATATATATATATATATATATATATATATATATATATATATATATATATATATATATATATGCATATATATATATGCATATATATATATGCATATATATATATGCATATATATATATATGCATATATATATATATGCATATATATATATATGCATATATATATATATATATATATATATATATATATATATATATATATATATATGCATATATATATATATATATAT